AAAAATTTGTAACCGTGGAGTACTTAGGAAAAAGATACATTACAATACTACAAAAAAAACTTGTTTTTTTTTTGGTCTATTGTGTTGACGTAAGGAAATCATTGATTTTAGTCTTTTTTTTTTTGTAGAAGGTTATGATAACTATTTCACGTTGAAGATACACTACAGTGGTGTATTCACCAAATCACCTGGAAGGAAATACGTTGATGGTGTTGTAGCATATGTAGATGATGTTGACACTTATTTATTTTCAGTTCATGAGCTTGACGACATGGTTCGAGAACTAGGGTAGAAAACTGAGCAAACCCTTTACTACCATTTCTGTATCCCTAAATACCCTTTGGACTATGGCTTAATGCCTTTAGGTAATGATCAAGATTTACTTAAAATGGTATCATATGTCCCTAAACATAGACTTATTAGGGTGTATATTGAAACTGGTCAGACAAGGGTAGCTAGTTATTACAAGTCTCCTTCTAAAGTTGTTATTGAGGAGTTGGAGCCTGATAGTATGTCACCTGAAATGAATAGAAAGAAACTTTGTAGGAGAGAAGCAGGATCATGTAGTAGAAAGCTTGATCTAAACAAGTCTATGAACCCTGATTATGAGCAGTCACAAGTGTTAGATGTTGATGAAGGCCATGATTACTCAAAGAGTATTCTACCATTTATAAGGTCACAAGGCAAACAAAGTCATGTCATTCAAGAGGAAATGGTGAATCATGAAATTGAAACTCAAGAAGAAGTGATCACTAGTGCAGTAGAAACTGAATAACCATTGGGAACTTACCATGTACATGAACCAAGCTGCCAAGTTGATGATGGAGCTAATACTACAATAGTTGATCACTATGAACCATTTATAGAGGATTACTCACTTTATGATGATTATGATGCTGAGTTTAATGTTCAAACTTCATTTGAACAACCACCAGAAGTGGATTAGCAAGAGGGTATGGTGAGTGATGATAGTGGAGAGGCTTTCTACTCTAAGATTGGCCATGGTTCTGAGGATAGTTGAGATGATTATGATGAAAGTGAATATAATGTGGATGAATCTAACATACAATTTGATGTAGATGTATACATGAGTGAATTCCATAATGTTGTTGATGTAGATGAACATGGAATCCTGAACAATCTTTCAAAAGATGAAGGGATTGACATGGTTGATGATGAGTTGGAAGTTATTACCACTGATGATTATCAATTTGCAGGATTTCATGAAGATGATAGGAAGAGACTACTTAAAGAGTTGAGTAAGTCAAGTACATGCTCACATGGAGAGGTTCATGTTAAACCATTTCAGATTGGTCAGGTCTTCAAAACCAAGCTTGATGTTAAAAACTACATGAACTCACATGATGTAGCAACCAGGAGGTCTTTATACCAAGCCAAAAATGACAAAATCTGGATTAGGGTGAAATGTAAAGGTGTTGTAAGTAAGACTTCTAAAGTAGTTGATGGTGGTGTGCCTGCAACTAGAAGTAGGGCAAAGTGCAAGGGTAAAGATGTAATTGCCAATAAAGGTACATATCCATGGGCACTCCAAATATTGAGGGCTAATGAAAATCAGCATTGGTTGATGAAAACAGTACTGGATGAGAATAAATGTTTGCAAACAAGGGCGGTTAAATCTTGCACTTCCAGATACGTAGCAAACTTAATTATTCAACAAATACAAAGTAACCCTAAAATTCTAGTGAAAGCTTTACACGAAGAGTTGTGCAAGAAAATGGAGGTAGGAATGTCATTGCAAAAGGTTGCTAGGGAAAAGTCAATGGATGAGCGTATCATTAGTGGGGACTACCAAGTACAGTATGGATTTTTGAGGGATTATGTGTTGGAGCTACTCAACACTAATCCTGGTACAACAGTTCAGATTGATGTGTATCCAGAAACCTCCCTATCTATTACCAAAAGAACTTTTAGAAGAATATATGTCTTTCTAGGTGCATTGAAATTAGGACTCAAATGTGGGTTAAGAGATTTTCTAGGTCTGGATGGTACTTTCATGAAGGGCCCTTACCCTGGGCAAGTGTTAACTGGTGTAGGGTTGGACTCAAACAATGGCATATACCCTGTAGCATATGCAGTGGTAGAGACAGAATCAACAAGTAGTTGGACCTGGTTCTTGGAACTGTTAGGAGAAGATTTGGACCTGGGACCAAATTCAAACTTTACATTCATTTCAGATAGACAAAAGGTGTGTATCACCTAAATTTTTTTTTATTACCTTTTCTAAATACATTTGGTTAACTGATTTTGCATACATTGACTTTTGTTTAGGGAATAATACCAGAAATGGAGAAGGTATTCCCTAGTGCAAAACACAGATTCTGTTTGAGGCATATCCAAGAAAACATGAAGAAATGGTGGAAAGGAAAAGACATAAGTGGCCAGCTTTGGGAGTGTGGTAGAGCAACAACAATCAATCATTTTAATAGAGCAATGGATGAGTTGAAGAGGATCAATGAAGAGGCTCATGCTTGGGTGTGTAAGATCCCAACAAACACTTGGGCTAAATCTCACTTTAGTGGTAAGTTTCTAGAAATTTATTGAGAAATGTTAATCTTCCTTGTTGTGTGTTTACTATATGTGTAAGTGTCTTCTCTTAATATCTATTATTCAGGAAGGGCACATACTGATTGTTTGTTGTATAACCTTTGTGAGGTATTCAATTCTAAGCTAGATGAAGGTAAGGATAAACCTATTATCACTTGCTTAGAGTATACTAGAGAGTATCTCATGAAGAGGTTATGTGTGGTGCAAAAGGAAATAGATAAGTGTGAAGGACTTCTAACCCCTACTACAACTACATTGTTTGAAAAGATTAAGACTGATGCAGCAAAGTATATGGCTAAATACAATGGGGCAGGAAAGTACCAAGTGGCAAGCACATGGCAAGACCAGCATGTGGAAAACTTGAATGATCAAAGTTGCAGTTGTAGGTTTTGGGAGATTACAGGTTTCCCATGTAGACATGTTGTTTGTGCTATATGGGACAAAATTAAGAATGGTGAAAATTCCCCACATGTTGATGAATGGGTCCATCCTTACTATAGGTTATCAACATCGAAAGCCATGTATTTCAACAAAATTGATCCATTGGATGGACGTACAATGTGGCCTAAAAGTGACTTCCCATTCACTTTACTTCCACCAAAACATAAGACACAAGTTTGTATTTCAAGTACACCAAATATATAGTATACATGTGAACATGGAATGAATTAAATTATAACTATAGTATATCAATATGTGTAGGTTGGGAGGCCTAAGAAGAAGAGAAGGAGGGGTGTTGATGAGCTAAGCAGCCAAGCTGTTAGATTAAGCAGGAAATATTTGGCAGTCACTTGTTCAAAGTGTCATAACAAAGGGCATAATTCCAAAACATGTAAAGGGTAGGGAGGCAGTGGTGAAGTTGGAGGGGGCTGAAAACTATTTTTAGTAGTTATTAGGATGCTTGTGTTGTAGGTATTTTGAAACTTAAGTCATGTGTACTTGTTTGAATATGTGTTAAGAACTTGAAAACTTTGCATGTAATGCTTGTGTTGTAGGTCTTTTGAAAACTTTGCATCATGGTTGTGTTGAGAACTTTATAACTTTGCATGTAATGGTGTGTATGCACTTTTTTGTAATGAATTAATATGTTTTGTGTACTACCCTTCATAGATCAATTAATAACATTGTACATTTCAATTGCAAATGAAAACCATCTTAAATATGCATTTACAATACACTTAACAATTGCATTTCAAAAAACATTCAAGAAATTGTAAAATCAACTATAACAAACTACATTCCATTACAATTACCATTACCACTCCATTACACATTAATATGATACATAAACCAAATACAACAACACCAATTCCAAAACCACCAACATAAACTGGAAAAAAAAAAAATAACCTATTCGATTAAAATAATAAAAAAACCCCTGCAATGGTTACAAACCAAAAACCAAAAACCAAAATTCCATTACCATCCAAACCTTCACAAGATACTTAGAGATTAAAATAATACCAAAAAAAACACCCATGAACAAAACAACACCAGCTGGTAGTTCCACAATTCTGCACTTGCAATGGCAACCCTCTCTTCCAATCGATTCATTGATCTTATCAAACATGGAATCACCACCAATGCCCTAGCACACATAGGAGGATCAGACCATCGAAGGAACCCACATCTTCTATAGTTCCAAAATTATCTTTCAGGGTTACGATCCGTCCATGAAGTGATCTCCATTGCTTCATTCCCACATCTGCAAGTCACCATCTTTGAATCAGAAGCGATTGGATGTCGTGAAGGGTGCAACGGTCGAGCAACAGTGGAAAGTAGGAGAGATGACGACTGATAAAGCTAAAGGGTTTACCCAAAAATCGGACATGCAATTTCTTTTAAAGAGATAAGGTTACAACTGAAATGAAGAAATTACCCCTGAAATATTTTATTAAAAAATGAGTTAACGGTGAAATGCTAACGGAGTGAGCCGGAATGACCATTTGTTAAAAGTTTTGAAACCACAGGGACCATCTGTGAGGTTTTTTGAACTTAAGGACTAAACTTGATATTTTCAGAAATCACAAGGACCATTTTTGAAGTTTTTTCTTTAATTAATTAATCCAAATACTATTAAGTTAGCCTAAGATTCTAGCAACGTAATGGTTTTTATCTAATTTTGCAAGTTTAGAAAAACTTAATTCCTTAACAATTATTCAATCAATTAACAAAACACTTTTGTTAGTTGAATCCACTTTCCTTAATGGTTTTAAACAATACTTTTGATAATTCTATTGGTTATTATTCAAGACACTATTAGCGATTCAATTCCATATTTACAAATATTAAACTAATTCATGTAGAGCTATGTATGGTCACACATAATTTAACACATAATCAATTTATTAAATAGAATTGGAGCTATGTAAGATTGAATTAATAAACACAATTGTGGTCACAATATGAATTCTCTAGCACAACTAAATTTAACAATTCAATTCCTTAACTAAGATTGGTTTGATCTTAGCTCTAATAATCTAATGTTCACTAAATTACTAGGTATTCAAATTCATGCAGATTAAAGGTCACTAACTACAGAGAATAAGAAGTTTAAGCAATCTAATTATCAAATCAAGCATGCTAGGTATAACCAATCAAACACAAGACATAACCAACAAGAAAAGTCTAAATCAATAGAAAAAAAATGAGTTCCAACTTCATCTAGCTAACATAAGTAACTAAATTTAGCTGGACATTCTAACAATTAAACACAAACAATATATAATCCAAAACATGTTTAAAAGTACCAAACTAATAATTGAATTATGAACTTCTTATTCCTTGGTGTTCCTCCTAATTTCCAGGCCTTCTTTCTCTCTGATTTTCGTCTTCTGAATCCTCTCTCAATCCAGCTAACCTTCAAAACCATAGGGATCAAGGTCTTATATAGTTTTTGGATTTTGCCCGACTCACGTCATGAGCATATGTGTCTCACGTCGTGCGTCCAGTCGCTATCCGTATTTGACAAGGAGTCTTCTACGCGAATGTTTATCTTCTGGAAACACCTCCTTTACGTCGTGAGCTTTGAATAGTCACATTGTGAGGATGTATTTTTGCTGTATTTTTATCTTTTAAGCCCATTAATCTCCAAAGTTCCATTCTTTGATGCTTTTACTCCCTTTTCTTCAAAATACCTTCTTTTTTCCTACAAAATATAAATTGACCTTATAAGTACCATTATTCAATGCAAATAACCAAAATATGTATAAAAACGTACTTAAATATTGCCTAGAAATATGTATAAATATGGCAATATCACACCCATTTATGCATTTTTTTCAATGAGTGTGTATGCTTGATGTATGTGACGTCCAAAAAATAATGACATATAATTTTCGTTTTTAAATTAATAAATCGCTAATACATATCATTTCCATAAAACCACGGTAATCAAGATTTACCAAAACATCATTGAACCCTGCCCTCCATCGGGCCTCAGACGGTCTCGAGTCCCACCCGGCCTCGGGCCCTGCCCGGCATCGAACCCCGCTCGGATTATAGATCTATCAATCACCAAACCCCGCTTGACATTAGGCCCCGCTCGATACACACATAATCATATAATCATATAAAAATATAACCTTACTAACACATGCAATAATCAAAATTACTATAGCATACCATAGAGTCATCGAGCTTCACTCGGTAAGTATAAAAACAGGTACTAATAACCATCATGCAATATACTCATCAGGCCCTGCCTAACATCGAGCATTGCCCGATAAGCATACCATCTCATAATGCATGTAAGAGTTACGCAAACATATAACATTCAAATACGAAAACCATGGGCCGACATTGGTGCCTTCCACCCTCTAAACCGAGTGAGGAGACTGAACTCACACTTCTAAATCACACAGGCAATCCATGGCTGGTAGCTGACAGATCCCCGAACTGTCAGTATCAAAACAACACCCAATTAATAATTTATTTCCAATCTATAACCATAAATCCATACTCGTGGTAAAAAGACCATTTCACCCCTAACCTAGCCTGGTCCAAGACCAAGGCCCAAACTCACCATCTGAAAATCCCAAAAGCCAAATAATTAATCAAGGCCCAATTATGGTCAAATTTTCCAAATTGGGCACAAACCCCTTATATGGGCCTGACCCTAAAGCCCAACCAAATTTCCTGTTCCAAAACACTTATACTTAGATGGCCCAAAAATAACTCAAACACCCAATCCCAAAACAAGGCCCAAAATGAAAAAACCCTCATGATTGTGTATGCGAGGCATAATCAGCTATAAGCTAAGCATACATGCAATTTGGCTTGTACGATGCATGTACAGACTTGTATGTCCAACGTACTCATCTATTAAGTCAATTTCAACATTATGCTCTTAATGCTTAAGTCCAGAAGTCCAAACCACAAATTTGAGTCCACATATGTGTCTAGAATCATAAAGTCACTGACTTGGTGAATTTTCATGCCCCAAAAGAACCAATCTTCAAGATAAATCATCATATTTTCACCAAATGGACACCAATTCATGTATGGGGGATTCCAAACCCTAAAAGAGACAACTTTATGCATCTATAACCTTAGAAACTGCAAGAGTGGTAACTCATAGCTCCTGACGTGGTACCAAACCACTAGATCTCATTCTTGGGGCCAAAAGGGATCAAAACTTACACAACATAGATCTAAGCCAATAATGAAGAAGATCAAAGCTTTTTACCTCAAACAAGCTGGAAATCAAGCACATACTCTAGATCCATAAGCTCCTCCTTGATCCAAAACCTTGCACTAAGCTCCATCTTCTTGGAAATGACTCAAAAACACAAAAATGCATGCCATGAGCTCAAAATCACACCCATGGAGGCCTAGAGATAACTTCTAGGGTTTTGGGGACTTGGAGGCTAGAAAAGTGGCCAGACCTAAAGACTTAATGAGTTTATATAGGGTAAACATCCAAAAATTAGTGTTTTTCATTTCCCTTCGTACCCCGCGTGTACTCCTTGTATGCTCAGTGTTAGAGGCCTCGCAACCCCGATCAGACGCTCGAAATATGATAAGCGTACACAACATTACACCCATCATAATGTCCTTTGCATTAGTACGTGGCGTGCACTCCCTTGGTACGCCCCGCATACTAGGATTTCCCCTCAAACCCTAATGGACTCCGAAGGCCATAACTTCTTCATTATAAATCTGATTTTGACGATCCTTAAATCCATGAAAAGTTAACGAGAAGCTCTACACTATAATCAACCAATACCTTCCTTACCGTTTCCTGAACAAACCTCTAATTTCCATAAAAGCTCGAGCTGACAACTTACCGAAATACACTTTGAATCCAAAGCACAAACCGAATACCCAGATCATTCAAAATACATCATCCTCCTTCAAATGAGCTTAAAACTCATTTATTCCAGGGTCTTAAGCCTGCTAATATCCAATGCTTGATCACCACCCTAAAATGGGTCATGATTCGAGCAGGACGTTACAATATACATAGGTTCTTTCAGGCCTTGATCTTCTTTAAATTAGGTTGTTGAATTTGTTTCACATTACCTGAAAAAAAAACCTCAAAATTAGGCTAAAAAGTTCAAAATCTACACCATTTTTTCAAAAAATTAAGCAAATAAAAGCACAACATCTAACATTCTTATCATGTGTTGCGACAACAATAATACCATATTTACATTAACAAAAAATAAAAAGATAATGTTTCAACATACGAAAAGTGATAAAAGGATTTGAGAAAGTAAAAATGAAGATCAATATGTGGACCGTTCAACCTTTTTTCTAGCTTAACATCATATTTATGAGTAAAATATATACTAATTTAACAAATCTGATATTCACCTTGGTTGGGGTTTGGAGTGTATTCGTTCATGGCTTCGATCCATTGTTTTTTTTAATATGTGCACTAAGATATAAAAAAAAACAAAGAGAATATTACTACATGAAAAAGTGCCAAAAAAAGGTTACTACCTGTTATATTTTGGGTCTAAGAATATCAATATACTTGGATAATTTCTAGGATCCTGATTGGAATCACTTTTCAAAATATGTTATTTCGACTCTATAGCTGTTGGATTTGGTGTCTAAGCCCATAACTATAACGAAGATATAGTTGACCCGATTATAGCATAGTCTTTTTGGATTGCCTTCACCAGTGCAATTTGATAGTATGGACTTTTGTAAATAAGGTTATTTATGATTTATTAATATATTATAAGTATAATATATTAATATGAAATCATATTATTTAATTAGTATTGATCAAGAATTAATTTGGAATTAATTTTGTGGTCAAAAGAGACTAATTAAATATATGGGGATTGATTATGTAAATCAATGATTCTTATAGTGAGGGCCAATAATCCATGATTATTAGATGGGCAAAACTAATAAGATAATCCATCGATAGTCCAATAACGTTAAACCCATGGAGCATAAGAATGTGAAAGGTCATAGAGCATTAGGGTTTGCATGGATGTAACCCTAGCTAAGCAACACTATAAAAGCATACCCCTAGTCCCAAAATCGGGCACCCATTCATTCTAAGAGAGTGAAGTTGATTTTGTGCTAAGTAATCTATTCTCTTAAGCCTTCTCTTGCATATTGGTGTTTGTGAACCATGAGAGGCATCACACTTGGGGTGCTGAAGATTCAAAGGTCAAGAACTACAAGTCCTTTTAAGAGGTATGTCATCTAACTAGTTATATTGTGCATTTGAAAATTATTTGCTAGTTAGGGAGAATGCTTTGGAAAAATTGAAAATGCATGTATAATTAGAGAAAACATAGATCCAACGCATTTAACGTTGTATTTGCACCATAG